GGTGGGGAGTGTCCGCGGCTGCTATTTTTGTCTTCCTTTAAATTTTAAAATATTGTTGTCATCAGAATAGTCGTATGCGTGGAGAGGTGCTGAAGCTGTAGATACATAGGGGCTTTTGGAAATAATGGGGGAAAGCTTTTAGAGTTACTCTTAGGGTAAACTTAATATCATTTAGCTTTAGGAAAGCTACAATAAAAGGAAAATTATAGTAGCAGTTCCTAATTTTAATTTTTTCACAATCTTGTAAGTCTTTACAAGTCTGAATGAAAAGTGATGTGAGGAAAGCACATGTTGCCCTGTAGAAAAGGAGCTCTTCATTCTAAAACTTTGTTTTTTCTAAATAATTTTAACTAGACCAACTATTTAAAGAAATAAAGATTGTGGTATCTGCTCTCAGTGTGCACAGTATGTAATTTCTCTTTTATTTTTTGTCCTTTCTGTTAGCAGCATAAAATAATTCACCAACATAAAACTGCCAGGGTTTGGGAGACCTGGTGGAAGCAGTTGGGATGTCAATGAGCAGGCCCAGCTGATGAGCTGTGAAGATACTGTCCTCTGGTTTTGGTTACAGAGGTGGCTAGGGCTTTCTTTTCATGCCTGGTTTTTCTCAGCTGTGAGAAATTGTGCATTGCTTGTGTCCCAAGTAAGTGTATGGGATGCCTCCAGGCAGAAATTTGCGAAATTTTCCCCCACTTTAGTATATAAATGGCAGCCTAGGAGAGTTTGAGATTATGGCTTCATAGTACTTCAACAAAAGAACAATTTAAGGAAGAATGTGGTTCAAGATACGTCTAAGATAGAAACCTGTAAAGGTTTGCCTGTCTTTCAGGACTAAGCTTTTTGAAATTTCATTCCCTCAAATATATTGATATTCATAACTTTGTACAGTAAAGGTCACATCAGGGCAGACTCTATTCATTGGCAAATGACCATCACAAGGGTCTTGGGCTTTTTAGATCTCACAATGGTTGCTAACCATGGCCAAAGCCTTGGCTGCTGCTGAAGACTGCACTATTTAAGAGAATCCATACTACAGTGACTGTAAGGGCTCATCTGATACTAAAGGGGTATGAATTTAACTTAAAATATTTTGAAAAAAGAAATTGGTTTTCCATCTTGGTTGCTTCTTCCTCTGGTTTAGTTTAAACAAACCTGAGTGGCTTAAAACTGAAATAAACCTTGTGGCACTCTGACTTACTTTAATGGAAGGGATGAAGTGTTCATGTGAGAGCAAAATTTTGCTTTCTTCCTATTTTGATAATAGGCAATGTAAACTATGCAAAAAAAAATTATTTTTCTACTTGACAGAGTAATAACCATAAAACCCTCTAAATGTATATCATTTCAAGGTAATAACACAGTGGGAGATTGTATAGAGAGTAGCTCTGAAATTTCACTAACTAGCTGAAGCCTTGCTCATTTACCAGAGCTGCTTTTATCCATATTTGCACTGCAATGGAGTGTTGTGATTGAAGCACCGGCACACATACCCGTGCCTTGCAGCTAAGGCTCCGATGACAGTGAATATACTGTGTGCAGGTTTCAGCAGGTTCTGGAGACCTTGAGGTGCTAGTCAGGGGCACTTGACAGGCTGAGAAAAATGGGCTGGCAGAAACTTAAGTTCAGCATTTGCAGGACTTGTGAAGTCCTGCACTAGGAAAAGAATAATGTCATGCAATGGCACAGGCCTGGCTGCTGGTCAGATGGAAGATGGCTCCACAGAAAAAAAGGACCTAGGGCCCTATACCAGCTGAGTCCAAGTCACTAGCATGCCCTTCCAAGGAAGAAGGTCAGCCCCATACTGGGCTGTGCTAACTATAGTGTAGCCAGCAGGCTGAGGAGAGCGATTCTTACCTTTGTTCGGCACTTGCAAGGCTACATCTGGCTTACCGTCTCCTGACTCCCTAGTAGGAAAAGGATACTGCAGTGAGTCCCCTGGTATGATTAGCAGGCTGAAGCACATGATGCATAAGGAGAAGGTGATAGAATTGCTCTCTTCAGCCACCTGAACAGAAGGTATGGATGAGACAGAGCTAGACTCTTGTCAGAGGTGCATGGTAGGATGAGAGGCAGCAGATGCGGGTGACAATAGAAGAAATTTTGATGTGGTATTACAAAAATTTTTCCACCACAACAGTAGTCAAGCCCTGGAACAAGGGCTCAGAGAGATGAGAGTCTCAATCCCTGGAGCTACTCTGAAGTTGACTGGACAAGGCCCTGGGCTGCCTGATCAAAGGCAGTGCTGCTTTGAGCAGGTGTTTGGACCAGGTAACCTGTAGAGGTCCCTTCTTATAATTTCAGTGAAGTTTCATGTGGTAAGCAAGAAAAGGTTACTGCTTCAATCTCACGATTATCTCTGTTTTCCTCTAGTAGTGTCCCACCTGCTACTCAACATCTTCTGAGATTAGACTTTCAGCTAGTAGGAAGAGAGAAGTATCTTTGTGGGCTCAGTGGAGGCTTTTCTGTTATACACAATGCTATATGTGAAACCCTGAAAGCATATTATCAGCTTGGATAGGAACTCCAGCAAGAGGCATTTGGAGAAGGGTGTAGATCTGCAAATGGCAGAATTGACTCTCTGACAAGTATTTAATGTTCAAACTATGTCTGTTTAGTTTTTATCAGCCTGAAACTCTTACAGTGAATTCATGACTTGAAGAAAAAGGCATAAAATACCCTGTTAAAAAAGACGTATTGTTTCAATTTGGAAAAGAACGAGCTAAGTTACAAGCGTTATCGATAGTGACTGTCGGCTTCCTGGGTTAATAGTCTCGTTGGTTTTGATAAAGCTGCTTAAGGAGAAAAGGTTTAATATTGTCCAAGCTGGAAAATAATTCATACAGCTACTTGCTGAACGTGTACTGATGCTAGAATCAAAGTAGTATAAATTCTGGTTTAATCTTTGTGTGTGTACTCATTTTCAGACTGCTGCAAGTGAGGAGAGAACCTCTAGTCACGATTTCCTTGTCAGATGTGTTTACAGGGGTGTGGAGACATTGGGAAAGGAATTTTTTATGTATTTTGATCAGAAAGCTTTGAGGTAAGAGGTGAGAAAAAGGCTTCCTATGTGTTCAGGCTGTACATATTTGGGGGGTTGTCTTGTTCTTGCTAGCATCGGTTTCAGAGATTTGAAAGTTAGTGTTACAGAGAAACTTCTCAGCAGCAGCTTCTCTGCAGTGCTGGAAGTACTGGATATAGGCACTTAAGTTTTCAGCTAATTTATTACTTTGTTCTTAGTCTAAGATTCCATGTAAAGGTGTCTGAAAAGGACAGTTGTTCCTTGAAATGCTTTGTTTCAAACAGGAAATTGTGTTTTCTAGGGACAAAATTCAGAGAAGTGCATGCAGTTAGTTACTTAATATCTTCCACTACAAACTGTACTTGCAATTTCTTTAACTTTCCTTAAGAAATTTAGATGGAAATTCTGTATTTAATTTTTAATGATTCAATTTCTCTGATAATAAGCTTGTGTGAAAAAATTGCCAAACTTAAAATATTCTGTGTGTATACATTTATGCTGCCTTTCTTTCTTTCTTTCTTTAAACAATATTAACAACTCTTTGGTTTGGAAGTATGGTTTGAAATTTGGCAGATGAATGATTTGGGTATCATAAATGTAGCTCTCAGTGTTTTGGTGAAACCATGTCTCCCAGGCAAGTGGTAAAACTGCCAAATTTTTGTTTGTTCATGCTTTGCAGAGCTTATTAGGGGGTTGTTGGCATATTTGGGTTTTGTCATATGCTTTAACTCCTTGGACATCATCTTGTATTAGCCACCAAGGTTGTAATTGGAATCTAGTTTGCTTTTTCTAGTTCAATACGCTTCTGCACTGCCAAGTCAACTAACCAAATGCACAGTGTAATGGATTATTAAGAAAATCCCCTCTCATTCTTTATGGTGATTGGTGTAGAATACATAAGTAAGGCCCTTGTATTTAATAAGTAAGACTTGCATTTGATGCCTTTCTTTTACCTTCTACTTGCAACATAATTCCAATCTTTCTAAATCTTTAAAAGGGAAAACAACATCACTTCTACATTCAGCGTAGTCTTTGTCACCTAATGACAAAGATATTAGCCTTTTTTAAATGACTATTGAGTGTGTTGCAAATTGATTGGATAAGCAAAGGAGTAAATTATACAATAAGACAACATTGTTACAACAGACTGGATTACACTATCCGAAGAAAAAAAAGCTATTATTAAGGAGTGTAAGTAAGCATTTTGCAAAAGCTCTCTTCAAAGAGAAAGAAAATGTGGCCAAGTTCTGGTACAGAAAATACAATCCTTTGACCCTGAAAGAGCTTAAATAATTCTTAAGCTTTCTAGCCAATGCAATAACTTACTGTACTTAATGAAAACAACCTTCAGCTATTGTTTGATAATAAGCTTAAAAGTTTCATCAGTTCATCAGTTCTTGTAGCTCTAGAAACTATTCAAGAAGTCCCTTTAGTCATGTAACTTACTTGATTGGAAACATAGTAGAAGTTATATACAGGAAAGGTCTTTTCTACACTGGGAGGCAGAAGTTACTTATCAGATAATAAAGATCTTCATTCTCTTGTTTTAAAGAATGTATGTTGTGCATCTTAAAGATGTTGAGGGGAGGTAGAGGAAGGCTTCCGAAAATGCATCTTACAGCAGTGTAAGATTGGCTGCCACTATTGTTATGGGGAGAGGAAATGAGGAGTACCCCTGCAGAAGGTGTATTATTTCTTTATTAAAGTTAACTCTCAAATATAAGACTTTCTCGTCATGAGGAGCATTACTGATATACAGATTCTGTATCTGTACATAGTTTCTCAACATAAAACCAGCTTTTCTCCTCTGCTAAGTTCACCTGTAAAAAGCTGGTTGTCATGCTGGAATAATATTAGTCAGATGTGTCTTGTGAAAGACTGGGCCATGAAGAGTAATTAACTGATTTTATGCTCCTGGATTTTCTGAAGTGGGGAATGACTGCCTGGTGGGAGAAGATAACCTGGCCATGAAATTGTTTTATACAGTTTGGCTACCGTTTGCTTGACTTGCAAACGAGGAGGATACTTCTGAAGTGTTGCCATGTAGTGGATAGCAATTAGCCAACAAAGTTCAGTATATTTGCAATCCATGGTGGGCAGTAGAAGCTTTGTTTTGGGAGTACAAATGAGCAAAGGCACCTTCTGAAAAAGTACTTCTAGTTTCTGATGTCCATTTAAACAAAGACATTAAAGTCACTGAAGAAAGTCAAGGGGTTTTGGAAAATCTGAGGGGTTTTTTTCAATTTTGCCTTGAAAGTCACTTAATCAATGAAAGTTGAAAAAAAATCTCTGATACTTGTGAGCTGCACAGGAGAGGTTTGTGTGGACTGCTTGTTTTGCATTGAAATAATAGTTATGCGAGACAGGTTGTGCTGGGTTTGGTTTCTGTAGTGTGCTATTAATGTAAATTTGGAGTGATAAATGGTTTAGAAAAGTTTCTGAAAATTGATAATGCACATATGTTTTTGCATAACTGAAAATGGACAAAAATATTCTTAGGAAAGAGATAATTGTTGACTCCAAATCCCTTAAAGGAAAGATATCCACTGTCTTGACTGGAAATGACATCTTGGCCCTTTAGAACTTGGTAATGTGAATTGTCACTGTTTTTTACATCTCCATACAATAGTTTGGCTGTGCTGCTACTAATCTTTTCTTTTTATGGGGAAAATGTTTTAAATAAAAGTAGAACCTTACAATATTGTGTAGCACTGAATAATTCTAAAACCTCAGCTTTTTACTTTAAAAACAAAAAAATCATCAACTCATTACTAGCTATTGTTGAATAAGGATCCTAGGTTTAATTAGCGTGGCTTTTCTATTTGTAATTAAAATGAGAAGGCTTCTGTTTTGCCCTATTTCGGGACATCAAAGGTAATGAAACACATTGTAGTGAAATTTTGTAAATTTCTTAAGGCTTTTGCATGTAAATGTGTAGCGTTGACTATTTTTTTCTAGTCATGAACTGACAAGTCAGTAAGGTAGCTAATAGTTGTGATTCTTACTGCTCCTTTTAAACTGTATACTGGAGCTTGGTAAATGAAACCATCAGTTATTAATGCGAATGATATTTATTTGAAAATAACTTTCTGGAAGCATTTAGTGCATTACTGTTTGGTTTAAAAAGAAATTTGACTAGGTTTAAGACAAAATTTGGCTAGTTAAGCCTGTGTAGTACTATTTGTGGCACTTGAGAACTGGAAATGTCTATTGAAAATAAAAGTGGCTGAAATAACTGTATCACCTGAAGTGACTTGTCAAGAAGAGAGTTTTGGAAAGCCACAGGTTTTTAAAAATTGGAAAAAAAAAAAATACTATGAGGAAGTTAGATAAAGAGTTGACTTTAAGACTATGGTTAATGAAATGTAAATATTTAACCTAGCTGTAAATATTTAAAATGCCTGTATTTGAAATGTAACAAAGAGGGGTTAAAAGGAAATATACATCTGATGATGTGTTTCTTTGGTCATTTGTGTAGTTTAATCTGTTAAATCCTTTTGTAGATACAAAATATTCCACCTTTTCTGATATGCAATGTATAGAAGTAGGACACCTCCTCTGTCTTAAGGGTTTTTTTGGACTGGAATGTACTAGATGAATTTGTGATAGATAAAATGTATGAGACCATAGTCAAACTTGTCCTTTGCTCAAGTATACTAGCTCCCAGTAGAACATATTATAAAATGTAAGACCTCTTAAAGCATTAGTGATCTGTAAAAGGAATGCTTGAAAGAGTCTGTTCCACTCCTTTGCCATCTGTGCATTTTTTCAGTTTATTTCTTTTATTAATTTTTAATTGACCTGCAGGTTTTGCCTTGGTTGTAAGCAAAGGAAAGCACAAAACAACATATGGCAGATGTTAGCTACTTTGTTTATGGCATTATTGGAAGTAGCTTTGATATAACAGTTTTGGCAAGCCGGGGACTGAAATATTTCCTTTTGTACCAAGTGACTTCTGCCTGATTTAACAGAAAATTGTCTGGTAAAGTAACCTCATTTCTTTCAGCCTCCCTGAGGACTTAAGAACCTGTGTTGGAAGACCAGCATGTCAAGTGAAAAAATTCTAAGTGCAGTACACCAGAAAAGTGTGTTACTTAATGATCAGGTTTAACTTCTGAATAATGAATTATGAAGACCACTGGAAAACTGCTATGTTTTGAAGTGGTTTTGACTTGGGGAGGGCTCTTTGGCAATTGAGCACTGTGTAAGCAAGTAGTTTGTTGCTGTGTTACTCTTAATGTATATACATACTGACTTGGTTAGGTAGGAATAGTTGATAACTGCAAAAAATAGACTAATGTAATGCTTGGAAACATTGTTGATATAAAATACTCATAAGGACTCTCTCTGTCTCCGAGGATTCACTTTGGTATGAACGGTTCCATGCGCATTAATCCTGATGGAAGAAAAGACAGAAATGGAGCACTACCAGTTTTGGAGATACAGCTTACAGAGGATACTGTTTGGTTTTTTGACGTGACAGTAGAGTATAGGTAAAGCAGAAAATAACAAAGTTAAACGCAGCTTTGTTTATTTCTTTTTATAACATTCTTTTCAAAACATAGTGAAAAATCAGACACTAATTGTTAAGTGCTTTGGAGGAAAGCCATCGCACACGCAAAGAAACAAAACAAAATTTGCTAAACATATCATATGGCATAGAAGGGCAATGAAGCTGGTGAAGGTTCTGAAGAACAGGTCTTGTGAGGAGCGGCTGAGGGAACTGGGATTGTTTAGCCTAGAGAAGAGGAGGCTGAGGGGAAAACGTTTTGCTCTCTGCAGCTACCTGAAAGGAGGTTGTAGTGAGGCCAGTGTTGGTCTCTCCTCCCAAGTGACTAATGACAGGACAAGAGGAAATGGCCTCAAGCTGCACCAGGGGAGGTTTAGATTGGACAAGAAGAAGAATTTCTTTACTGAAAGAGTGGTCAAACGTTGGAACAGGCTGCCCAGGGAAGTGGTGTAGTTACCATCCCTGGAGGTGTTCAAATGATGTATAGATGTGGTGCTTAGGGACATGGTTTAGTGGTGGGCTTGGTAGTGTTAGGATAATGTTGGACCTGATGATCTTAAAGGTCTTTTCCAACCAAAATGATTCTATGATGCTATATTTATTGGTATACTAATTTAATTTTTTTACTTTTGTATCAGAGTTTACATAAAGTTAAAGTAGTTCCATGGCATAGTCTCATTAGCTAGTGTCAAGTCTGGGAACAAAAGTTGGATTCAATTCTGTCCTTAGATCTGGATGCTGAACTCCATAGCTCCTTTAATTTCCATGCAAGTCTTGCTTCCTTAACACGAAAAAAGACCTGTGATGATTACTGGTTTCAAATTTCTGTGCTCCCAAGGTTGTGGTCTTTTGTTTTTGTTTTTGTTTCCTTTTTGGAAGCTAGATGGTATAATTATTATAATTCATGTTAAGTGGATGTTTTTGTCCATCAGCGCTGTACTTCTGCTAGTAAAAATAACATAGCAAGCTTCATTTTAAAAGATTTGAGGCTTTTTGGTGAAAGGGAGCGTGTAAATTCAAGTAACATATTTACATATTTAATATAACAAAGCATAAAAGCTTATGTAAACCTGAGACTTCTTGTACTCTGTTATTTTCACACTATTTGTTCTTCAATGTATGCTTATGCTTAACCTAGTAAAATCAAGGTTTAAGAAAATATAACTTTTATTGACATGTTGTAACTACTGGACTGTGTAACCATACAGTTAGTTATGATTGATGGTCTAAACACATGGTCTTTCCATTTTGGAAGCAGTTTTAAAGCAAGGACCTGGCAATTATTTTTCAAAACAAAATGAGGATGATTTCTTGTATCTTGGACCAGATGCATGTTCCTTGCATGTATCATTGACCTGTGTTTGAGAGGGGTGATTGATTAATGTAGTTTCTTTGCCTCTGCCTGTCACTGATATTTTCGTAGTTTCTGTTATCTGTATATAATGTTCTATTATACTTTTATGTGTTGCTTTTAAAACCGTACTGCTATGTTAGCATATAATTAAAATAAAAATAAATCTTAATGTATTTTTCTCTTCCAGAGATGCAGCTGAGAGTGAGCAGAAAGTGAGAATGATGGAAAGCTTGGATGTCTGTTCTCCAAAGTTTAGCTTCTTAAGAGCAGAAAGTGAGATTAAGCAGCAGAACACCCGCATGTTGTGTGATGTGTTACTGGATCAAGCAGTATTACCCGGAGTGGGAAATATCATAAAAAATGAAGCACTGTTTGACAGTGGTCTTCATCCAGCTGTTACGGTGGGTGTAATGTCTCAAGATTGTTTTTAATGGCACTGAAGTATTAAGAATGTAAATACATATTTATGTAACATTTTGACATCTTCTTACCTTTGTTTTATCATCTGTCATTTCTCAAGTTATTCTAAGACACTAAATTAATGTTTTATCATTGAAACTGGAGGTATTTGTTGTGGCATTCCTTGGAACCTGTTGCTGCTACTCCCACCTTACAGTCAAATCCTGACTTTGTTTGGCATCCTGTTGTGCTACCATTAAATTTCAGCCTATAAATAAAGGAAAACTAAGAGTGTCTAGGTGTTATTTGTTCAGTTACTATTCAAAATAGTTTGTGTGGTAGAATTGATTATTTTTGCAGCTGCTTCTTCCATTTCCTGTCCTGCTAGCTGGCGTCATTTGCTTTTCTAACACTGTTTACCATACTTTTTTTGGTTAAGATCCTCAAGCGTGTGTTCAAACTATGGTTGAAAAAAAGTCTGATGTTTGCAAAACAGATTGAGAATTTACATTAGAATGTAAAGGAAACCTGGCGAAGATAGTAACTGAAAGATTTTTTTAAACGTACTGTTTCTGAAAGTTCTTCATAGGATCAGCCTGCCTTTTAATTGTATCTGCAATGTGAGCTGGCAAAGGAAAGAAAAATGTGACTTAAAATTTTGAGTTCTTAGCAAAAATGTATTTGGCTGCTACATCTCTCTAATTGTGATTCCTTTGGCTCAAGTATTCTTGAAACAGCCTCTGATGGTAGGTAGGTTGTAGGTTTTATCATAATCCTTGATGAAATTAAGAGGGAACTAAGAGTTGTTAACTCCACGTGATTCCTGTGATCAGGAAATCTTAGGTCAATACAGAGGAAGGCAACTGAAATTTTTACCTCATGTTTTGCATGGACAAGGCAAAGTATATTCTTTGGTATTCACACAGTGAGTTTGTATAGTATAGAACGTGAAAATGTACTGTTCTACATATAATGTGAAGTCAGAGAATTATCGTAACAGGAAGAAATGCGTTTCCACATCAGCTGAAAGTGTTTAAAGTACCCTTATAGGTCTTTCTGCTGTTGTCCCTTAGCATCATTATATTCTAAAAAACATTCTTGTCTTGCAGGTTTGCCAACTGACAGATGAGCATATAAGTCACTTGGTGAAAATGACACGTGATTTTACCCTGCTTTTTTATAAGGTATTGGCACACGTTTCTGAGAAACCTGCAAAACTTGACTTTGGCTTGTTAGCTGTACGTCACAATCTAGTGAAAACAGTAAAAAGAGGCAACAGGTCAAGTGTTTCCATGAATAGGAATGTTAGTTTGTGTGCTTTTTATTAATTGTGTCTTGTATTAATTAATTAATAATTTATTAATTTCCATCATTGTCAAATGATGGAAAAGTGGGGGAGTCTAGACTGTAAGAATGTGCATAGCTTGGCCCAGTTGCAGCAGAAGAGCTTGATAGATGCTGCCTGAGGGTCAGTACAGTTTTGCTGTGCATGTGTTGCAGTGTCACTCTGAACATGTCAGAATTGATGTAGGTTTAGCACGCACTTACATGTAAGATAACATAAAGGTCACTCTTCAAACTGGGATCTAGAGGTTGCTCCAGGGAAGCATGAGGATAATTCACGTGGCTTTCTTTATGAAACTTGAAACAGCAAGTATATTTATTTGACTAAATAGGTTTTAACTTCTAACAACTTTTTTCTTCAAAGTGAAACAACTGTTTTGGTTGCTAAAGCGAAATAAATTCCAGCTTCTCCCTACTGCCACAACTTCAGTAGGATTTAATTTCTTCCTCTGTAAACTCTATAATTCCTGGTTGCTCTTTAACTCTCCAAAATAGAAAAAGAGAGAATTTGACCTAATTCTTGTATGTTTTTCTTCTTTAAGCTGTATGCAGAGAAATGAACAGCAGCAGTGAAATTCTTGTCTGTTTCTCTTGGTATTCATGAAAGGCAAGGAGCTAGTGTTGCTAAAAATTCTTTTCTTGGTAAGCTAGGAGGAGGGCACCTAACTTTCCTAATACTGTCTTTCAGTCATATAGGTTAAAAATGTAATTTGTGCTGATTAAACGTCTGCTTTTCCCCAGCCCACCGAAGAGTAGTTTAGTCTGCTGGCTAGGCAAATCTTTTCATCCTCCAAACTTCATAGTCTAACAGTAAAGAGAGAGCATCCAGCTCTGCAACAGCTATAATACTATGAGATTTAAACATGTCATGGGCTTTTTAGACCAACAATAAACAAACAAATTAAACTTCCTGTAGCTCAGTTTAGCCATTTTCAAAACTTTGTCGAATACTTGCTATGTATAGATCACAAATCAAGTGCTTTTAAAGATGAGTTAGCCACCCCCCCACCCCAAGTCTCTTTAAGATAAAAACAATGAAAATAGGTTAATAAGAGGGGTAGTGCTTGATCATTTTTATAGACATTTATAGTTATAGAATGTTCATAGTAATCATACTATATAATTTGTAGTAGCATCTTACAGATGCAAAGATGAGGAATCTTGTTTGTGTAAAAAAGCTGTTGCTTTTGTTTGTTTTTTAAATAACTGGATGGGAGGAAGCTACTAATAAGAACCTAACTGTAAACCTTGAGGAGAAAGCAAACAGCTTATGAATATTCATGCAAATATATATTAGGAATTCCTTTTGATTTACTTACTAGATTGTACTGGCAAAAGCATTCTCACTAAGCAAGGCTGATGAATAAGAGCACAGCAGAAGCAAATATGCTGTGCTCAAAGACACCTGTATTTGCGAGAACTCCAAGGGTGTTCATGCATTATGGAGCTAGAGCTACTGAAGCCTGCCAGAGCTGGGCTGGTATTGCTGTGCCAGCTGTGACATTGTTTGAACTGTGCCCAAGGAACTGCGGTTGTAGTGCAGAAACTCATGTGGCTCTGCAGGCTTGGCTGTACCTCTACTGGGCTTTTCTTGCTTGTTTTTAGTGTTGCTTTTGTTATTCTACCAGTTTTAGCTGGGGCATGTCTATGTTGACTCCATGTAAATTGTCTCATGAAAGGTGCCTGCTTGTCCGCCCTCTGGAGGTTCTTTAGTCATTGTGCCCTTTGGGCTTGTACTGTACTTAATTTGACTTTCTGCCAGGATCAGGAGCTTGCCATAGTGCAAAGTGGCTTTTCATGAGCCAACTTGTCTGGTATGGCCAGTGCTAAGATGAAGCTGAACAACTTTACTGGGTGCTACCTGGCTCCTACAGAATTTCTGGAATATTTCTGCATTGCTCTGTTCTTTAGGTTTTGGGAAGGTTGATTGACCCAGATTGTAGTGTTAAGGTCTGAACTGGCTTTATATTGTGGTTATGACTCTTTTTGGGGTGAGGGAAGATGCTGTTGGGTTTGTGTTTTATTTTTGTTTTCTACACTGCATTGGTTGGAGCTCATCAGCTCCTTAAGAACATTCCTGCATGTGCCAGGTCAAAGATGACTGGTGCTGAGTCAGAGCTAGCTGGTCCAGCTGAACTTAGGGAGTCCCTAGCATGTATTTGCTTGCAGCATGCTAGTATGTTGTTGGTTGTTTTTTTTTTTGTCTTCTGTCTTTTATTCTGTTATATGGAGAATTCCAGGTGCTGCTATGCTTGATTTAATGTCAATTCTTTTCATAAAAGAATATGAAATACAGATGACAGCCCTTATGAGTGTGCCTTAAATATATTTATGTGGTCATTGAGCTGGCAGTTTACATAGGTGGTTTGTTTGTTGTTTGTTTTTTTTTTTTAATTTTAGCTTCGGTTGAACTGTAGGACTGACATAAATTTATACTGGGTCTCTAGCTTGAGTTTTAAACGTGTTTTGTTGTAGTGCCGCAAAATTGGGTCTCCACTCTACAAACACTACAGAGTGTACAAGCGCCCAGCCTGTGGTCAGTGCAACGGGAAGATCACTGTGTGTCGTTTAGGAGAGAGTAACAGGATGACTTACTTCTGCTCTCGATGTCAAACGGCGGATCCACAGCTTGTCAACATTAGGTATGATGGTAACTTTGTGACATTTGTAAGCATCAAAGTGCTTAAGCACCTCAAAGTGCTGTTACAATAAGAGGACATCACTTCCCAAATAGAATGGATCCTTGTGCATTTTATATAGAAATTCACTTGAATTTGTGAAAGAAAAATGTTTGGGCTGTTGGTATTTAAAAATGGTCAAAAGTTTTAATTCTGATACTATTTCTTTCAAAGGCCTTGTCTGTTATGAAATAGCTATTACTCTAATCAAATGTAGGAATTATAAAACAATTCAGAGTACTCAGAATTATTTACTGCTTCTGGAAAAAGTGGCCCTTTTTCTTGGTGCTATCAATGTAATAGGCTTGGATGTTTACACACAACTGAGTTGAATAGCATAGGGAAGGTAGGAATTTGTGTGCCTGTCTATTTTCACAGGATAGCGTCTTCAGTCCTGGAATATCTAGATGGCTGTGCATCTATGCCATTTTGTTCTGGCTGTAGAGTTACACTGAGGATAACTAAAACTTCAGTAAATTCAGAGTACAGCAAATATTGTAGGGCTTAGGACTTTTTTTTTTTCTTCCTCCTTACTGGGTTTGGAAAGCTTTTACTGTGGGTATGCCACAGAGACACTTTCAGTTCCGCATAAATTGTGCTAGCAGCAGCTTTCCTCCTTTTATTTTAGAAAAGCACAAAATGCATTTGATATCACAAAGGGTCAAAAGGTAAAAGTTCCAAAAGCACTTTATTCAGACTCTTACATACCTAAGTTATTCTTGGAAGTTTTCATCTGAGGTTTCAGAATCTTGCCTTTTTATACTGAGCTCTGTCAGTCTAATACTGCTTCGCTTTGCAAACTTTGCCTTCATTAGTGTGTGTGTGTATTTATATGTATTTTTAATAAGATTTACAGAACACGCAAATCCCTCTCCTACCTCCAGTCTTCTTTCAAGATTCAGATGGCTGACGGGATTTTGGTTAAAACTTAAAGATAGTCTTTGAGTACTGATCAAATATACAAAATTCCGGCATGGAAGATAAATATTTTCACATGCCGATAACCCCAATCTGCTGTATTTTCAAAGAGTAATAATGAGAAATGTTTTGCAGAAGAGTGGGGAGACAGCAATGTTCCATCGAGTCAGATAACTAGAAAGTGATGCAAGGGAAAAGATATCTCTTTCTAGTTTGTTTTTTTTGTTGGAGTTTTTTTGTTGTTTTTCTTTTTTTAAACAATTAAACAGTGATATATTTCAGTTATATATTTAAACAGTGATATGGTAGCTATAAAATAAAAAGGTCATTTCCTAATGGTCAGGTCTTTGTGTTCTGCTGCTCTTTTTCTATTATGCAGTAACTGTTACCAAATAAAAGTATGTGTAGCTCAAGTGGTTTATCTGCCATTCCAAGCTTTTCATGTTTGAAGACTGAAAGGAGCCCTTGTGATCAGACTGACTTGCTACAGATCACAAACTGCAGAGTTTAACCCAATGGTTCTTGAGTCAAGTAGCTTACGATTTTACTCAACTGAGAAAATGAAGAAAATACCCATTATAAGCTTACCTTCTCAAATTCAAATGTACCTTGAATCTTAAAAACAGACACCACCACCACCACCACCCACCTCTTTTTGTGTTCCGAAATGGGAAGGATGGGGGACATGACATGATAGACAGACTGGGATGACATGGAATTAAACTCCACCTTGAATCTTAAAGACAGACTTCCTCCCCCCATATTTTGTGTTCCAAAATAGTGGGGATGGGGGACATAACATGACAGACAGACTGGGGGATGACAGGAACTCCAAAACATGACATGCTGAATATATTTGGTCTAGTAATGCATTTTTGATAGCTGAGTAGAAAAACTGATCTAATAAAGTGAAAATACCCATTTTTAACACTTCCAGTTCAGCTGTTTTGTTATCTAGCCACAGTATTTTGGTGAATGCTACTGTAATATCTGTTCTACCTCTTGACAGCACAGGATCTCTGGTATGTCAGCAGTTCTCATTATCCTCCTTAGTTTTCTTGTTGTGGAAGAGATGTGGTAGGTAGTGGATGTCCGTACCATTATCTTAGAAATCTAGCCTGCTAAGGAGAGATATAATTACAGAATAAATGATAGGTCTAAGGAGTGTCACAATAGTTCCCAAGTACAGCATTTGCATTATTAATTGAAGAGCTTGAATTCTTATGATTAAAAAAAAAAAAGGTTCTCAAAAAGTGCATAATTCCACAAAAACTATGGAAAAAAAATGCTTGCTGACTTATCAGCCATAGTACTTAAAAATTTATGTACGTATCTTACTGAACAGGTAAATTCAAGTTATATTTAACATGCTAACAGTGTTTGGATACTATGACAAAATTCATCCTTTGTACCATGTAGTGACTGTAAAATAGTAACTATGATTCTAAATCAGTGTATCAACATAGGAGGTATTATCATTTACAGGATAATTAATAAAATTAAATCTACAGAGGTGTCCGGAGTACATCTTTGGCTCACCAGTCACAGCTAGGATGTTTGTAAACTCTTTCTGATGAGGAGAAAAAAAAGCACCAAAAAACGCCAAAATCCTTCCTTCTGAATAGGCTGCTAAATGTTAAAAGGCTTTCCAGCAAATGTTGACACACAAGAAAGACTTTCTAATTTTTAAGGTTTTCATTTCTGTTGGCTGTTGCGATAACAAAGTGGTCTAATGGGTAGCATTAAAATGAGAGCAAAAAAACTTGTTTGCTGGATTATGTGACTTTCTGTAGTTCAGCTCCTGAACAGGTCTTCATCTAGTAATGCGTTTATTAATAAATGTTTTGTACAAGGGATGGGGGGAAAAGTACTGAAACAGTCTCCCTTTCTCACCAAGTTTCTTGCTGCGATACTTGAAAATGGTAGGGAAATTGAGAGAGGCTGAGGCATTGTGCAGGAGAGTACATCAGTTGGTAATTAACTTTCTGTTTGTTTTCATTTAAATATTTTTATTTGTTTAACTTTTGCAGCATTGGGAAAGATTTGCTCTTGAGGTAAAGAGAGGGGAAAAAAAAAAAAAAAAACAAACCAAACAAAACCAACCAACAAACTCAAACCGTGACATGCTGTCCAAGCTATGATAGGCAGGCATAACACTGTGTGTTACTTGTTCTCTAGCCCTGTGCCTCCCTGCCCATAGCGGTGTAAGGCAATTTGTAGAAGAAACGTCACAAAAGACTAACATCATTCTTATGTTTCACAGCAAACTGCCAACTAGAAATAGCCTAATTGGCTGGGCATACGGCAGAGGGTCATGTTCTAATGAACGTGTAGCTCAGAAATCTGAAGAGGAGTGGACGTGTGTGCGCTGTACCCTAATAAACAAGCCTTCTGCTGAAATTTGTGATGCCTGTTTGACTTCAAGGCCTGAAGGTATTGAAAGGTTGTCTGGAACCTCTACTGGGAAAGGGGGGAGGATTGTAGTTTTTGTGCAGTTTTTGGAACTATAGAACTGTAGAAGTGTCTCATTGTGAATCGTATTTATATAACTAGCTAACTTAAAGTCAGATTTGCAGAAACTGTAATCATGGAAATTGTCTTGTCTTAAGACAAGACCTAAAAGTGTCTTGTCTTCCAGTTTTGTGTGCAAGTGGGATTCTATAGACAAGCCTCTGCAGTGACTCTTTGTTTTTATTGGGGTACAGAGTGAGACAAAACGCCATTCTTCCCCCTCCCCTTAAAACCATTAGAAGCTTGCAGCATATGTCTGATAGAGAAATCACCAGGGGTCAGAGAAGTAATTATTGTTCTTTCATGTAAACAAAAGCAATATATTTCAGTACCCTTTCCAAAAGGATGTCGAGTTTCTCGGGGGCTAGGTTTTTCCTCCCAGTTCAGAGTAAGGATGATTCTGGACGACTTACATGAATTTGGTTTTTGTCTCTTACTGGAGCTTTTAATGCTGCTGCCTTCTAAATCTGGTGAGCAGAAGCAGCTGTGAATGAGACCTAGAAAGGGACAGGAATGAGTAACATGCTAGCTTCTCTCCAGATTTCTGTATAGAAATGTAGCTATTAAGAAGGGATGAGTGAGGTAATGAACAGACTTTCCACTGAGACTTATTTTCTTTGTGAAGAGGAGCTTTGTATTCTTCTTCACTTAGAAAAAGTGAGTAAATTACTCTGGGGTGGGGGCGTTACAGGAAGTTATTTGGATCAAGACTGTTGCTCCAAACCATTTTAAGTTGCTACATATACTCCAAGAAACAATGTCTAGAGGTGTGCATGCGTGTGGCTTTTTAGGGTTACAGCTAATGCTATAACAATTCCATACTGAAACTTTTCTATCTTAAAAGCTACTACTCTACTTATTTCACATTATATAGTGAATTATTCAATGAAGTGGCTGAAATCTACATACTACAACTTATTTCTTTATTTTTGAATCTCCAGTGCTGCAAAACTGAAAGAAAGGGTATTTGTAAACAATATACAGGCTTTTTTGTATCTGGGAACAATTAATGTTTTTACATAGGCTCCAGGACCTATTGTTAAAAGTGCACTGAGTTTAACTATATGACTCAAAGTATAGATGCTGAAATTGGAAATAAAGATCACATTCCCATAGCTTTTTATGGTACTTCGAGCCATGCTTTCCAAAGTGCCCCCAAATTCCTAGCCTGTGAAGAAGTGACTGTGTGGTACTGATCTCTGATCTTATAAAGTAAGTTCCAATGTGGGTTGTTTGTGGGTTTTTTTAAAGTATTGCTTCATTTCAGTTATTCCTTTTATGAATAGAGTGATGTGTATGAAACTCATATCTTACACTAGCTAAAGTCCATTCCTTCCGGCCAGGAGTCAATGAAAGTATATATTTGTGCCTCACATGACACTTGTTGTCAGCAGAGGCTAATCTTGCATAATTCTCCTGCAAAATCAGTGCCAGAAATCTGAAAGTTTTAACCTGTTCACAGACTCAGGTTTACCAACATTTATCATGGAATTAATACTGTCAGCTGGACATTAAAATATCTAACAGTATGCGCACAAATGCTTTATTTTAAGCTTTGTAACAAAATCCTGCTCCTCTTCCTGTACTTCTAGGTCTCACTTGTTTAGCTATATGCCATTACTGAAAACGGGCCTAAAATGTGAAGATGTGTTAGACTTTATGGAATACTGTTACAGAAATGCTTTAAGAGACTCAGTTTTGCATCATAGGAGTGTGGTATTCAAGATTTTTTTAAAACTTGGTTTTGTTTACCTCTCTCTTTTCAGACTTTTCAGACTAAGATTCCTTGCCTTCTCACTTTGTCCATTTTTTGTCCTTTGTGTTGTTACTAAAATTAACTGCTGTCAGCAGAAACGTTTGAGTTTTTGAGGACAGAATACCTACTATGTAAAGTTAGCTCCTGGCCATACAGCCAAAATAATTTCGTCTGTAGACAGAGATAACTGTTTACCATTACATCTCCATTTCCTTGCTCCTGGCCAAGACCCTATTCTTTCTTTGACAAATCTGAATGCAGTGGAACAGGTATGTTTCATTGTGCAGCAGTGGCAAAATGGAAGGAGCCTGTAAACAAGAATTGTTCAGAGTAAACTGTAGGGATTCTTATTTCGTTTCTGAGTGGGAATAACTTTGGAGAGATACTGCCCTTGTGTATGCCTTATCTACCCATTTTTCTTCTGCTTAATTCCCTTTTTCTTGTACGAGAGGGAGGATGTAGGAGGGAGACAGTCGCTGGAGATGGCAGAAAAGAAAGGACTCTGTTCTTGAACACTGGCTTCACAGCTACTTAACAAAGTTTGCACATAGGGTCCCCATAAAGTTTTTATTTTCACGCTTTTCTCAGACACCCTTCCCTACAGGCACCTTATTTATTAATCTGGCATTAATAAATTATGTCCACTGTCTTGGAATGATTATTGCCCACTAGGTGGGACTTTGAGTCTGTGAAGAAACATACTGTTCATGTCAGGAAATAAATGTGAAGTAAATGTCTGAACTGCTTGTTTCTGAAGCCAGTTGCAGTAAGGGATGGGTAAGTTTGGATGTGCACAATGTTTGGAAAGGATGGGAACCCTGAAAGCACTAGAAAACCCGAAAAATTAATATTCCTTTTTGTGTCAATAGTAAAACAGTACTTTAAAAATGGATAATGTATTGCTATGGGAGGTACCATACCCTGCCATCTCCCAGGCTGGGGTTTTAAAAAGTTATTTTAAAAAAATTAAATATTTTAATCCCTGTGTTTGGGCCAAATTCAATTTTGTATGGTTAATTCTCCAGTAGCTTTCATTTACAGAGTACTATTCATATCTGGTCCTATTCAAGCAATAGTAACGTTATCTTGAAACACATGTTGTATGTGACTCCAAAAGTGCATGAGCTTTTTTTATTGTAAGCAATTTGGTACTATATCTAATCTGTGACAGATTCTGAGATTCTTTCAAGATCGTATGGTAAGTTTACTCTTTCACTTCCTGTATGATGACTTATGAATACAGATCAGAACTATGATGTGTCATTCTACACAGATGGATTATAACCAATAACTTATTTTTCCTTAGTTCCAAAGACAAAGAATGTTGAAGATTCTGCAGCCTTTAACATAAACTTAATGAAGTACCCTTGTAATGATTTCAGAAAACCAAGCACAGAAATAAAGATCAATAGGAAAGCTGTATTTGGAACTACAACTCTTGTCTTAACAGATCTTGGTAACAAAGCTGTTTTGAGAAATGATACCCAAATATCTGATGGACACTTTCAGTGTTTTGCTCCAAAAAGCAATTGTAATCAAATTCAAAACAATGCCTACGAGTCAGGGGGAAGCACAGGCAAGGATTGCTCAACACACATAACTGCAAAGGCTTTGTCCTCCTGTCAGCAACCTCTGTCTTTCAAACACGTACAGAAAAAACAGAAAACTGATCATATACCCTCGGTTCACCAATGTAATACAGCAATTAGGTATGTATTCTAAAATGTAAACAAGTCTTTTTATAATCCCATAAACCAACTTTATTCCTGAAGATTAATGGAATACTGTGCTGTGGGTTCAGACACTGTTGTCTTTGGATTTCTGCCAGAGGTTAAGTTACTCTCGGGTAACTAAAATTACACGCAGATTTCAAAAGCACTGAAAGGCCTAGGCTGTCACTGTAAAAGTCCTGATTTTGGCATCTCACCAGTACTGCTGTTAACTAAACAGCTGTTCATAGTTCAGCTGTTCCCATGGAATAGGACGGGATTAGCTCTAATAGGTCCACAAACACAGTTCTATCTAAGGAGTCATCTGATCTTAGCACTGTAGTGGCTATCTGCTTAGAGAACTCTTGAAGTCATTGTGGAAGATGACAGAAGAAAGGTAGCTGAATGAATATATTCTAACTAAAGTTATTTGTCAGCTAGCTGTATTCAACATGATGCAAAGCTCTGTACTGGTACCTTGAACCTCCCATCACTATTTTCTCTTAACTTTCCTTCCCATCCTATATGTAATTACTTCAATGTTCTACCCATCCTGAATTTTTATGTACTCAGCCCTATTCAGACACATCCATTGCCTAGTTAAGAGAAATGTGAGAACATATTAGAGTTGTCAAGGAAAAGCTGGGCAGACATACACAACAGTAATGGGAGTGCAAGGTAGATGTCACTTACAGTGGTAAATTACGCAAGGTGAATATGAAATATTAATGATATGCTGTAGAATTCTTGGTCATGTGTCTGTTTTGAAATACAGAAATTATTTCTTGCATTGTTGAAGCACCAGTTTTGAAACAGGATCTCACTGGCTAGCCAGGTTAGCCTGTATGAATATCCTTTTTCCTTGCTGTACTGGAGGACTAGAGACAATCAAGGATGTAGGGAGGGTAACTGAGAATACAGAGGAGTGCAGAGAAGAAATGAGAGAGTATCAATCATGATAACAGGTAGACATAGCAAGTCATCAACTTAAATGTTTAAAAAAGTAAACAAAACTCAAAACCAAGTACTTTGTAACAAAACCCAACTTTTTTTCTTTTGTTTTAACAAGGTGTTGGAAGAAAATTGATGATGTATGCAGGACTGCAGTCCTCCAGACATAAAAGAGAACATAAAATTCCTAAGCTGATAACAAGAATTAATTAATTAATTATTTTTTTCCCCCACTAAGTTTTCATCACTGCTTTTCTGCTTTATAAATATATTGGGAAGATACATTTTAGAGTATTTATCTTTTTCATGTTGCCATTTTTAAATAAAGCCTTGTGTACTGCATTCAGATAATCTCTGACTACCTCAATCATGAGGAAGAAAGAAAGTTTATCCCATTCAGAGAACGCTGTTCCAACCCCTCAGCTGGATTACTTCTTGTTCAAATATAATTTGGAGCATTACTGTAATTTACTAGTAAAGAGAGTGGGAGTCTTTTCTGTGAAGCACACAGATACCTTCACCCTGGAGTAATTACTTGGTATTGGTCTTTTTTCCCACTGAAAGCAGAATACTCTTAGAATTTGTTGGAATTTGGGATGGGCAGTATAATAGCAGTGGTAGTATTTATTTTGTTTTGTAGATTAATTTGAGTACTTTGAAATACTTTAAAAAATGGGGTAATGCTGGGGAAAACTAGTATAATAACCTGCAAGAAAAGCACAGTCTTGTCTATTCACTACTAGCAACCATTCAGCTTTAAAGGCACAATAGGCTACGCTGGAAAAGTAAGTTCTCTGGCTGTCACTGTGTGTAACAGTACACCAAGTGAGCTATTGTAATGGTAGAAGAGAGTTCTTTGGCTGTGGTGTTGGTAATCCCTTTAACATTACCAGGAGTCATTTTATAACCTGTCATTACAGCACACCTCAAGCTAATATGACAGATGATATCAATCTGTTAAGTGCGGGCCATCCTCGCTGCAGTCAACACAACCGTCTCTGCAGCCTCAGAGTTGTGAGAAAGGATGGAGAGAACAAGGGCAGGCAGTTTTACACCTGTTCCCTACCCAGAGAAACTCAGTGTGACTACTTTCAAGTACGTATGAGACTTCAGGGCCTGTTTTCTAATGAGCACTTGCTCCTGCAGCCTCCTTGCCCCAGTAATCTGTAATTGTGGACAGATACAATCCATTTAAAGTTTGAGGTAATTTAAAATGCTTTTGCTCACTGAATTGAAGCTAAGAGCATAATAGTAGTAATAAACTTACTTAGTTGTAGTTACTTCTCATACTTCTGAGAAGGCACCTGGTTGTGCAAATGCTCTTAATCTGCTTCTGTGTGGCATGAAACAGATGCATAGCAGAAATGTTGGTTTGAAGGCACTTGTACAAGTTGTTTAGATCAGCCTCTTGCTCAAAAAAGGACTATGGCAAACTAGATCTAGACATCAGCCATGTTTTTGCCTAGCCAAAAATCTGTAAAACCTCCAAGAATTAAGATTCTATAACCTGCCTGGGCAGTGACTCCCACTGCTGCACTAATACCTAACCCAACCTTTGTAGCTGTAATGGGTGGCCATTGCTCCTTGCTATGAATATACGTGGCTGAGAAGAGTTTGACTCAGTCACCTACTACCAGGCAGTTAATAAATGAACTCAAGACAGTAATGACTATAGTGCCTTAATTTGAAAAATACTGTGCGTGAACATCAACTGAAGTTACACCAGTTAAAGTGTGTGCAGTTAATGTTAAAGCAAAATCTAAAATCAGTGATCACAAAGAGATAAAACTATCTAAACTACTAGGAAGAGTTTCTTCTAGGGCATCCCCTGTAGATGTTTCTATTGCCAATTTTAAAATAAGGAATTTGCAGCCATCAGATATGCTAAAGCTGTGTCTAAAACCTGTTTCTTTTGGCAGTGGGCTGACTTGAATTTTCCGTTTTGCAACCATGGCAAGCGATGTGTTATGAAGACTGTCTTGAAGATTGGTCCAAATAATGGAAGGAACTTTTTTGTGTGCCCTCTTGGGAAGGAAAAACAGTGTGGCTTTTTCCAGTGGGCCAAAAATGGGCCAGGTATGCAGGTTATTCCTTGATGTCGGCATTATAGTTATCTACTCCTCAGGACGTCTTAAGTGCATACAGTGTTCCCAGTCACTTCTGTTCTGTTCTGTCTTTTTCTGTGTTCACTGGTTAATTCGTAAAATAGCTCCAACAACATAAAGAACTGCAGAGCTGGAAAGAGTAATTTACATAGTCTTATAAAAATTAAACACTGCTTGTATGCTGCATACTAATTTGAAGTAAACACCTAGCTTGCAATATATTGTAACATACCATTCTATTTCTAATAAAGTTGAACTGTTTTCTTTTTTTCATGTACATGTCACTGAAGTTTGTCAGCACTGCATACTTTCAGGCATATGTGATTTATAGAATTGATAACTTTAATCTAAATTAGTATTTTAAATTTATAAACTTCATGAGTGTAAACAGGTCTCTAATAAAAATGAATAAAAAGTCAACATGTATATTTTTTTTAATACTACTTCATGCTTTATTTCCTCAGAGCTTAAAATGAAACAGCAACGGACTGTACACTTCAAATGTTACTGTAGCTGAATGTGTAACCTTGCTTAGATTTGGAAAACAAAGAAACTGTCCTAAAATTAATAACATGACTGCTTTTTTCTTAATAACACATTTTAAACCCAGTTGCTCCTGAACTTTCTTTCTCCAATCCATGTATAATGCATAACAAAATCATACCTCTTAAGTGGTTAAAACTCAGTTTTCATTTGTTTGTCTTACCCCTATTTGATGAAGCATGTGAAAAGTAAATAGAATATGCTAAGCTTTCAACTGTGAAGTAAAGCAGAAACAGAATTCTTCAGATCTTTGGAGCACCTACTGTAGATAACAAGGAAAATGAGTCTAATGAAGATATGATCATAACTTCATAAATTATTGAATCACAGTCAGTTGTTAAAGAAAGTAATGGGAAGTAGTGTTGCTGGAGTGCTGTGTCCAGTTCTGGGCTCCTCAGTTCAAGAGAGACAGGGAAGTGCTGGAGACAGTCCAGCAGAGGGCTACGAAGATGATGAGCGGCCTGGAGCATCTCTCTTATGAGGAAAGGCTGAGAGACCTGGGGCTCTTTAGCCTGGAGAAGAGAAGACTGAGAGGGGACCTTATCAACGCTTGTAAATATCTAAAGGGTGGGTGTCAAGAGGATGGGGCCAGGCTGTTTTCAGTGGTGCCCAGTGACAGGACAAGGGGCAATGGGCACAAACTGGAGCACAGGAAGTTCCACCTCAACACAGGGAAAAACTTCTTTGCTCTGAAGGTGGCAGAGCACTGTCACAGGCTGCCCAGGGAGGTTGTGGAGTCTCCTTCCCTGGAGATATTCAGAACCCACCTGGATGCAGTCCTGGGCAACCTGCTGTAGGTGAACCTGCTTTAGCAGCGCGGTTGGACTAGATGATCTCCAGAGGTCCCTTCCAACCCCCACCATTCTGTGATTCCCCCTAAAAAATGTGTGAGATGAACCAAGTTGAAAAGCTGCTTGTAAATGGGCCTTCAGGCTATGTAAATAGTTCAGAATTAATTGTGTAATTTCTGAAAGCAAACTGCTTTTTTTGCCTTTTTTTTTTTTTTCCCTGAGGTGGGAAGGATTACATAATTTCCCTGAGAAAGTTGTGGAACTTCAGTCCAATTTAAATCTTCTGTGCCATGGTGCAAGTGAAACTGATGAAGTCTTGTCCTAACCAACACAAATACAGGGGCTTTCTTCATCCTCTTTTCAATAGCCTTTGATAGCTTTGAGACCTTTTAAATCTCTCCTTATGTGAAGGAAATCTTTTCTAATCAGCTTGTAGAAACTATAATCTTTATGTTGCTCAATGGACTCTTTCCACATAATATATATCTTTCCTGAAGTGGGGTACAGAACTCCACCTGAGAACAAAACAAGCCACTTCGCATGGTAAAGACAGACTTTCCATTTCTATCTTTTTGTATGATGCTTGTTACAATGATGTGTCACTGATAGCTTGTGCTTATACATCTAAATCTTTAAAACTGCTAACCTAACCAATGCCTCACTTTTGTATTTGTACAATTGGTTACTGTGATAGAGTGATTATTTTTAAGTTGTACGTGTTTTGGGTTGACTTGCACAGAGATAAATATTCACTAGTTCAGCTAAACGTGAAAAATCAAAAAGAAATACAATATTTTTGATTATTTGCCTTCAACAAGCGTTAAGATCTTATTGAAGCTGGAAGTTAAATGATTTTTTCAAACTTTGACACTTCAAAGATAACAGTTGAGCTGCTATGCCTTTTTTTATCTTAACAGCCAGACAAGAAGTGATTATCTGTTTACATAGAACAGAAGTTTTAAAGGAGTAACTGCTTTCATTAGCTACTGCAATCACTTTCCTTTTTCTGTTCTTCTATTTCTAGAACATGTTGTATAGTTGTTTTTTTGGTTTTTTTTTTTAAGTAACAAAAGCATCATGGAAAGTTAACCTGGACAGTAGAATAGTGATGTCTAAAGCACATTTACCCTCTGAGGGTGCAAAATCTGAATTCTTTATAGAAATGAGTAGTATGTCCTGCTTAAACTAAGGACTAAACAAAGGAAAAGTGTTTAAAATAAAATATTTTGTCCTGATAATTAGTTAATCTATTTAACAAGTAATTTCTCCACAAGCTTGCATAATTTAGAAGTGTGAGAAATAACCTACATTAAAATCTTACTATTACAATAATAGAAGTTTCACCTTGAATAAAAGCTGTGTTTTAAAAAGTGACTTTCTGTATTGTCTCATTTCTGCTACTTTCAGCCTAAGTACAAATGTTAGCATGCAATAACTTGTATTTGTTATCTCAAACACAGTGTAATAGCTAGCATAGGCTGGCCAGTTGAAGTAACCAGAGCTGGCTGCAGATAAGTAGCTTGAACAGCTCTATTTCACTATTTACCTGTGAGATTGCAAATTAGAGATTTTATAGTCTCTGATTGTGCATGAAGTTGCAATAAAACAAGAATTCTAAGCATCTAAGTCTAAAGATATTTCAGAATGGCTGTATCACTGATTGATGATATCATTGTTTTGGACAAATAGTTGCTTCAGGAAATGGATATTTAGCTCATAAATTCAGGCAAGAGACAGCATCTAGCAGATAAAATGTAAAATGTTTGAGAAGAATTCTGAAATGTATAAAAATAAATTTAAGAAGTTTAAACAGGAAATAAGGCAGGAGCCACAGGGCAAGTTATGGCCATTAGAGAAGTGCAACATGTAAGTTTTGTTTATGGAATAAATGTTTATGGAGAAATATTTATTTTGTAAACAAAACTTTAAATTTAGAAATTAGGATATTGCCTAACACTCAAACAACTTTGGGACTAGTACCTCTTCCCTAAACCTCATGAAAGTAGGGAATGCTAATACCGAGGGGAACTGCCCTTTTACATTGCTAGGGCTATTATGCAAATAACAAGATTACAAATTATTTAATTCTAATCTCAAGTACCCCCTATAAATACCACCCATTTAAGCTATAAAATTCAAAAGTTTGTAGAGTGTGTTGCCTTGGGCATCTGTTTTGCAGGGGTGGTATATTTCTGTCTACCTAAATTTGCTTGTGATACATCCTGGTTGTATAATATCACAAGGTGAGGAAAGGCAGAAATGGAAATAATGAAGGGCAGGGATACTCTGAGCTCACCACAGTGAACTGGCATGTGGAGAGATCTGACACGTTTACACTCCAGTGAAGTAGACTAAGCAGGAGATTCAGAATGCTAATTCACCAGCAGCCTCTGCAAAACTTACTGGTTTTGCAAACACGGCTTTTCATTTTTTTACTTTTCTTTCTTCCTCTCTTGTTTTTGGAGAGGACAGCACTATGTAACTTGTTTAACAAGCTGTGGCTGATAGCTGGTTATAAAAGGTTTTGATTTTAGAAAGCTGGCAAGAAAACTTGTCTTGGAATAGATCCCCCTCTCAACCTTTCAAAAAGAATCTGCAACCAAGGGTGCAAAACAGTAGACAGTTCTTGAAAGGATCTCTTGTGTTTGCTCCAGATAAAAGTCCTGAGTTTTAGCTTTTGTCCTAATAGTTTACAAACATGTTTATTTTTTCCCATTGATTCATCTATTACAGTGCAAGCGATGGAACACACTTATTTCAGGTTCATATCTGGCTTACACATTTTAATGGCTTGTGTTGCATACAATCAACTGCAAAGGCTAAAGAGGATAACAAAGCCTAAGTTAAAAGAGTGAATTGTCTATCCCAAACATTTCTGTCATTTATATTCCTTATGAAAGTCAATGTAAACAGCTTCTAAAAAAATACAGCCCCTTTTAAAGGCCTTAGGGTTCCAATGCAGAGTTGGTACTTTAACCTGTACAGCTAAGAGAAATAGGATGTATTGCCAGCGTCTGCTATTGCCAGGAGGCTGTCAGGATTGACAGGCTCATAGAAGCCGCTTTGACTAGGTGCATTCTGAACAAGGTGGTGATGGCAGCTCTGTAATAAAAAGGAGTCTTCCAGTAAAGCTGACTTCTAAGTACCCTTACTTACAATTTTTAGGAGCTTTTTTTAGACATTAATATTACAAAGTGATAGCATGACTCATAACGGAAACCTTTCCTGAACCTTATGCAGAAAACACTTTTTCTGGTTTTATGTACCACAAAGCTAACCTCATAAAGCTCTCTGAACTCAGCTGAGATGCTATGTAAAACTATTTTTGGAGGATCAAATCAAGGTCACACGAGTTGTGAAGTAAAAATTTTAAACCTAGAAAATGCTAATACCATACCCAGTTTCTGCTTAATGGTAGCACTTTAGTTACTATTACAGTTTAAGTAAGTTTAGGCAGAGTATGTGTTTCACTTTGAAAGTAACATTTATTTTCCAATTTGTGACATTCGGGTTAGAATCAACAAATTTTATGCCCAGTTTTATGCCTTTATACCCTTTATACTTTTATAACCAGCTATTTGTTAAAGACAGACATGCATTTTTCTTAACCTATACGTGCACAACTACCATTTGATGGCAATGCAAATTCAGCAAATA